TGTTGATGATTGAAATTTTTCCTCTTGCATAAGTTGAATGTTGAAGTTATTCATAACTTGGTCTTCGTCATATGCTTCTGGCTGAGATAAAATAGGCGAATGAATAGTGGATGAATCAAGGCTATCTTCAAAATGAAAATCCATATGAAAAGGTATCTCCTCTCTTTGTTTGTCAGCGTAAAGGGACGCGTCGGACGGTGTTGTTGAGGTGTTAAGGAGGTATTTAGTTTTTGATCTAATTATTTGCTGTTGTAATTTTACTTCCCGCTTTGATTTAATTTGTTTCAATTGATGTCTTTTAATAATTTCATAAATTTCGACATTTTTTTGATTGCTTTGGAATAAGTTAATTCCAGCATTTAGATCTGATTTTTTAGCACGATTGGAATCTAATACTGCAAGTGGGGGACTAAGATTTTTGGTCGATTTATAAATCATCTGAGGCATTGTGACAAATTCGTTATATGTATATAAATAATTGGCCATAATCTGTTTGTTTATTGGAGTATTTGAATGAGAGACATAGAATGGGGTAACACACGGGGGATAAATATCGTTTCTTATATGTATGAAATGATACCTAGAAAATATGTAAAAGCCTACCGAATCTGGAGAAACCGGAGCAAGTATGCGCTCTATATTTCTTTGTGGCTTAGTTTTAAATATGTGATTAAGGTCCTTGGTAATAGGCACTGAAATTTTTTGAACAAACAGCAGTGTTAGAAATACATATAATGTATATGCATAGTGAAATTAGTCTAGGTAGCTTACGTTTCTGCTTCGCATCTAATTTTTGTTGTTCAGCTTTATCAGGAGGTTTTTTCCGTTTTCTTTTTCGATGCCATTCCGTGTCCTCTACAATCCCCATCGTCTCATCCCATGCCTTTTTGTCTACCTTGTATGATTCAATTTCCGTTTGAAGTGATTCCAGGGCCTTAGCTAACGAACAGCATAAAGTGACGAGTACGAAGCAAATTATGAAGGTTTTATAATAATCGGAAAGTAATCCTCGGTATAATCTTCTATGATACAGGATAAAAAAATTTATAGCAACTTTAAACCTCATTTTATGACATACATTGAACGGACCGAATTTGTTATAGCATAATTTGGACTCCCTGTTTCATGTAAATTGAGATGGTCTCTCAATTCCAATTCCCCTCTTACGTATACCGGATTCAATGATATCTTCCATAATTTTCACCTGTAACATATTATCGGTTATAGTATATTTACTAACTTTCGATTCCCCCTTTCTCTAGTTCACACTGTGAAGTTTAAACTGTTAAAGTCCGCACATTGTAAGTCACAACTTGTGGCAGTGATTCTCCGATGTTATTGCATGTAAATATACCAACTATCTGGGTTCAAGAATATGTAATTTATTTGAAAATCCGAGCAAATTTGGATTTTTGGTGAAGGTTTTAGTGCGGCTAGTTTAGCATTGGGGGCTCCTGAAAGGGGTGTGGCGGGCGCAAATGCCTTCTACACTTTTCGTACACTCGGGGAGATCCATAAATTATGTCATGCAAAAATCGCGATTTTCTAGACCTGTTTATAGGTCTGTTTATTTGTGTCCTCGAAAAAATTTAAATTGGTCGGGTCGAAATCTTAGGATTAATGTAGCCGCTGACACATTCACATTGTAAATATTAGACATAAATGCAAACGTATATACGCATCTTTAAGATACTCAAAATTGCAATTCAATCTAGATAAGACAAGATACAAGGTTAAAATTTTGCAAGTAAGGTCCCGACTACTAATTACCCCTGTGGGGTTTCGAACCCAATTTTCTCAGGTTAATGGCAATTTTTTTGCTGAATCCAACTTAGAGCAAATTTAATCAATTTAAAAAAATAGGCTGAAGATGAGGAAAATGTCAGATGTCAGCACTTATGTAACTCGATTTTAAGCGGTGTCATTGGTTGGTACTCTTCAAAAAACGTTAGCTCAGTAAGCTACTTAACGATTCATGTGTGTCATACATGTCTTACACCATCCAAAGTGGTTGGTTTGGATTCGGTGTAAATTCTCCCCCAAAAGTTTTCACCGTATGTAAATTCTCCTCCATCGAAGTTCTCACCTATGAAAATTTTTCCCAATCCTCAATTTTCAATTTTATGTGAAAGAGAATTTCGGATATGTTTAGCCCATGAAATGATAAAACCAAAACCTCAAGGTGGTTGCAACCGGTCATCAACGACTCACTATTCAGATGCATTATTATATTATGATTTGTTAAATTAATATCATACAGATAAACAAACTCAGCAACATGGATTGAAACTGTAGTATGTCCAATGTCAATTCTCGATTTTATGAGGATTTATTTGGATTAAAAGGCCAACCGCAAAAATGTATGAAGTGAATTTCCATCATTCTTATGTGGAGAATGAATAGACCAGAACAAAAGGTTCGTAGTGCAAACTTTGTACTGATAAGTATATTAAGTTTCATTTGTGTAACTGAAAGTTTCCCCTTCTACATATGTAACAAGAAGTAACAAGCTTAAGGGGGCTGGTCGCATGGTAATACCCACCCAATAACATTTGTATTATTAATAGTAATGAAGTAATGGAAATTTACCACATAGAAACAAAGTACTACCAATCTGGTAGGAAATTACTATTAAGTCTATACAAGTACCAGAATGGAGTCCCTGGGAATGATTCCATGAGGACAAATACTATTTTATGCTCCCTCGCTGATGACTGGTTCCAGCTTGAGGTTTTATCATTTATCAGTGATACACTTTCATGGGCTAAGCTTAGCCGAAACCCCTTTTCACATATAATTGAAAATTGAGGATTGGGAAAAATTTTCATGGATGGGAACTTGAATGGAGGAGAATTTATGTACGGAGAAAATTTCCTGGCGAAAATTTGCATAGTACCGGTTTGGAATTTTATTGGTTTTTGAGGCATTGTCGATGGGAAATTTACTACGGCACTGAACAAATAAATTCCAATTGGAATTTTAGGAATGGTTTAAACCATTCCTGACACACCTATGAATCGCTCATCACACAACGTGTGATGAGCGAAAGACAACATCCTGTTATCTTTAAAAATTTTACTAGTACGGCACCTTAACGAAAATAAAATTCATGAGATACTTATTAATCGAAAATACTCCAATCACGGTGCAAATATTTTCAAAAGTCAACTTATACATAATTATTAAGTAGCGTCAGCTACTTATTGTGATCGTTTTGTCCGTCCGTCCGTCCGTCTGTAAGCAGGATATCTCCAGAAAGAGTCGACATAATCAAATGCCGTTTTCGATATTGTGTTTCTAATTTTTAGTTCTCGGTCGAGTTCGATAATGGGGTCAATCGGACCACACCCCACTGCGCCAGGGGGTGTGGTCAAGATTAAATTTAACCTTAATTTTCATGTGGGGTGTCATTTTAAAGGAAATTTCACCACGAACTCAAAGATGTTAATATTTTTGGCCTTATGACCTTGAGGACTAGGTCAAAGGTCAAAAGATACATAATTGTCATATAGGGTGTCATTTTAAAGGAAATTTCACCACGAATTCAAGATGTTAATATTTTTGGCCTTATGACCTTGAGGGCGAGGTCAAAGGTCAAAAGATACATAATCGTCATATGGGGTGTCATTTTAAAGGAAATTTTACGGCGATTTCAAGGACGCTGATATTTTTGACCTCATGACCTTGAGATCAAGGTCAAGGGTTATACATAATTGTCATGGGATATGGGATAATTTTAAAGGAAACTTGGATCGCTCTGACGCTACTATTTTATATTCGTTTGGAGGGTTTATTAATTATACATATATATGCAGGGCACCAAAACAAAATGTATGTATGTACATATTGCATACTCAAATTATTAAATATATTGAAGAAAAACTAACTTTTCGTAGGTAGTACAATTCTTTCCTATAATTTTCCAGTTTGACACTCTTAGGACTCTTATCGCAATATTGAATAATTTGATGAACCACCGAGCGCAGATAACTGCATTATGAGAATGTCGCACCACTAAAACTAAAAAAATACTTGTGTCGAAACGAAATACATACATATGTATATTGACGATACAAACCACTACTGGATGAAGGAACTGGGTTAAAGTAACGTTCTTAACAAACAATGCAAGTGGAAAGCAAAATTACTTTTGATTGTCAATTTTGACATTTGTAACAGAAGGTTGGAAAGTTATTAGATAGAACATAGCCAATCTTGTAATATGTAAATATGATGTACATATTAAATATGGGTAGAAATTCTCGATAACGTAATTATAATAGATAAACTCAGGTATTACTTTATCAAAGGCTGTTCTGTAATTTATATATTTTTTGTAGCGTACAACTATTAATTATTTACATGTAGCGTGGAAAGCGATGAAACATCGATTATGTTATATTAAACAAACTTTCACTCGGAATTGTTTCGATTGTTACAATTTATCAAGTTTGAAAGTGGTGCATATTTAATTTTGGTATTGTTTTAAATATGAGCAATGCAGATTGTAGAGTAGGTACATATTTATATATGCATATACCAATATGTATGTACATATTTACTTATGTAAAATGAAAAATTTCACTAATTTCTAAGATTTCTTCCTTGTCAAAAACTCAAAACACATATTCTACAAAAGTGACATCAATTTTCCCATATATCTAGCATTTTTCGACAAATTTAAAACCCGTAACACGCTGACAAAAAACATCTCTGGACCCTCAAGCCCATGTATGTATAATACATCTGTAAAGGACGCCGATTTATGAGCTGCGAATGAGAGTAAGCATTCGTCCGACCGTTCATGATTAATGATCTCTCGTGAATTTTATTAGACTGCACACAAAGTATCACATATATACATACATACGTGTGTAAATATGTCTGGTAAAGAAGTTTTCAAAATATTTAAAATTTTAAGAAGTTGAGTTTGCTACTATTGTGAAGCAACTATAAATGGTGTTAGAATTATCAAAAGCTGATCAAAATTTTATTTTTTGGGAATGTTTAAAATTCGGAGTTTATTTGCACTCGCATATGATACAGGATATCAGAATGTGATCAAAATCACTCACTGTCAAACCAAAAGCACCCTCGTAAGTATTTAAGACAGATTCTGGCGGAAGGCGAGAAAAAACCACGACATTAATTTATTACATACTATTTCCACCCGGGACGCCGAGCTCTGCTTGAGAACCTCAATGTTACCTTTTGGTACGATCCTTGGGGAACATTCATAAAATATACGCAGGGGAGAGGGAGGGATGGTTGTTGTGTTACCGGTGAACGGGTGACCCACGTAAAAAATCGCCAATTTGCGTATTTCATGAACGTTCACTTGTCAATTATATTTTGTTGATAGCCTTAGTGTAATATTAAAAATTTTAATCGTTTGATCAAATTCGACAGTTGATTGAGTATGTATGTATGCGTACAAGTTCATGATTCCCCCAAGTCACAGAAAGTTAAAATTACAAATTTAATAAATATATGTAGTACTACTGAAATATCAACAGAAGACAATGCACACATATTATCTCTAAACAAGTATATTTCCTTAGGTTGTAAGTTCCTTAGCGTAAAACCCTCCGGCTGAACAACGGATGATTAATTTTCTTATTTCGTCGTAAAATATTAGATAGATTGCAAAAGGGATTGGTGGTGCCCAAAATTCCGGTCTAAAAAACAGAAACAAAAAATTGGTAATGGATGAAAATTAATTTACGAAAAGATTACTAGACTGCTGGGAAAATATGTCGTGATGTACCGGATTCCATAAAACTTTAAGGCATTGTTTAGATATGGTGTGCTTGTTAAAAATATAGCGAGACTGAGCTCAACCAATATTCCAAAATTCATACGCCAGTTTCTGTATGTTTGGACAAGAAACAAGTATAATTATTCCAAATCATAAAGAATTCATATAGTCAATTTCATAATTTCAAGTCATGCACTCCAAGGAAATAGACATATTTGTATACTATACTATACATATGCGCATTGATGCGCTTTATACATCCTGCAATGTTAAAATTAATATTAAGGAGAGCATGACTGGAAATCATACACCTCTGGGCAAGACTTTAAACAATTAAACAAAACTTACTTCATTCCTTTTTGGAAAAAACTCATTCTTCTCGTTTTGCAAATAATGACATTGCCAACTTGGGTAATGACAATGCTAATAAAAAATGCAGTTTGTCCTGCAAGCTCTAAATCTTGTCGAGCGTCCCATGACTTGTTAAAATTATGAATTAAACACATCAATAAATTTTACATAGGTAAAGTTATGCAAATGATAAACAAGCATACCCATTCTTGACCGTAGGAGTCCTCCAAGTCGTTGATTGATTTGCTATCCCACTTTCTATTGATCCACCACATTCGCAGCGGGCCCCATCCGTGAGCCCAGTACATTACTATCCTTTAAGTTGAAAATCATTTATTAGCATTATTCACTTGTTTCGAGTAATAAAGGAAAAAAATTATAAAAATCACCAGGAAAACCATCCCGAAGCCAATTCGATAACTGACGTCTGCAAATATGTGTACCTGAGCAGTCTGTCAATTTGGTTAACGCAGGTTAGTAAAGCTACATTTTCTTAAAGTTAAATATTACGGTAAAAATTGAAAGCATTACTGTGGAGTTACTAATTTTTCAGTTTGTGGGTTTCTTGGTTTCAATTTCATAATGTCAGCTTCAGCGGTCTCTTGAGCAAGACTAATAGCCGGAAGACAATCAGTTACACAGACACTAAGCAACATGGCAATTGTCCCCATGGGAAGAGGGGTCCCTAGACACTGATTGGGACTTAGTATGACTAATAAACTGATATATGTGTATTTACTTACCATGAACGTCATAACCGAATACATTTCAGCAATGTTATCCGCCAAGTTATATTGCATTAACTATTTTAAATTATTTAAGATAAATAAATTATTACATTAAAAATTAAATTACCTATTAAATAAATTATCAAATACTTTTTTTAAATTATCAAAAATCAATCGTCCCTCTTCAACCCCAGTAGCAATGGTTGCAAAATTGTCGTCCATCAAGATCATATCTGCCGTCTCCTAAAGAAGTGCAAAGACAATTTCATAGTTTCATTCATTTAGAAGCTTCAACCCGGGTTCGAAACCAAGGAAGCTAAATCTAGTCATAGTTGTATAATATAATGAAAATCATTGATGGGCGAGAAAATCTGAGGTTAGGCTACGCGTAAAGACGTTCCCACTAATCAAAAATCTCAGTAAAGAATAATTCTACAATTTATTATACATACGTACCTTGCTAACTTCTGAACCACTGATTCCCATCGCTACGCCAATATCTGCTTTCTTTAAAGCAGGGGAATCGTTAACACCTGAAATACAAATATTGCATTAGGCATTTTTATATCAATAAAATTAGTTTCATGACATATGTACCATCCCCTGTTGCTGCAACGACACAACCCAAGTCCTTAATGAAAAATGTAGTTGTCAATTTAAATAAACTATGTATTACGCGTGTATACTACGTATATACGCATAAATATTAATTTTCCTATCTATGAATTAAATCATCGTACTTGAAAAGCCTCCACAATGGTGTATTTCTGTTCTGGCGACGTTCTCGCAAAAACAATTTCCTCATGATTTGTAAGAACATTGCGTAATTGGTCTGGGGTGAGGAGTTTGAGTTCTGCTCCAGAAATAACAGCCGCGTTCACTTGTCTTGGGTCAATATCTTCAACACTGCATCCCCGACGAAGTGCCATCTCTTCAATGGTCTCGTTTCCTGAAAATGAATTATACTAAGAAATTAGCTTAGGTTTCCACTATGGTGCTAATTTAACATTCACCGTCCGAAATAATTCCAACTGATCTTGCAATTGCAGTAGCAGTGACAGGATGATCTCCAGTCACCATAACGACTTTTATTCCAGCAGAACGGCACCTTGCCACAGCATCCGGAACAGCTAATAGTTAACATTTGTTGGGTACTAAACAAATATATTGCTCACAAATCAGTCACATCGTATTAAATATATACCAGCTTTTGGAGGATCAATCAATGAGATGAGACCAACGAAACGAAACCCGACATCCAAAAACTCCATGTTGTCTGGATCAAATTCATAACCAATTGGAAAACGATCAAGTGGAAGCCGACAGTCACAAAACCCTACATACAAGCATTTAAATGTGAAGCTAAAAAATATGTACATGTGAACAACCAAGACATTGATAGATGCTTATTTACCTAAAACTCTTTCGCCATATGATCCAAGCGTATGATACACTAGGTTAAACGCTTCTCGCCATTCATCATCTATATCATATTCACGATCTTGTACTAAAATTTTAGTGCAGAGACTAATGATCCGTTCAGGAGCTCCCTTTTTAGGAATACCAAACAGGAATAATAATCAGGAATAATAATGGCAACAACCGACGTCGATATCTATATACCTTCATAACGAGAAGCTGGCGAGGATCGTTGGGGTCTCTCATGTCATGAATAGATACTTGAAACTTATTGGAAGAATTGAATGGAATTTCGCAAAGTTTTGGATGCTTTTCACGATATTTAACAACATTTCCAATTTGGTTTTCCATGCACTTTAGAATGGCAGTTTCTGAAGCATCTCCTTCAACAATTCTATCAATGTAATGACAAGTTTATAGCCTACTTTAATTATTTTAATAAATTTGAAATAAATAAATATTTAGAAAAAATATAACCCTCTCTACCGTTTAATTATTGGAATATTTTCTTGTCCTGGTTTAAAATTTGCTCGTGAACAAAGACATGCTACAGTTGATAAAGCCTTGAATCCGGGGTCATCATTATCAAAGCTTTGTCCAGAATAAAATTCTGAAGTGTCGGCTTCAGCTATTTCATTATTGAACCACATGTGGGCCACTGACATTTTGTTTTGCGTTAAAGTCCCTGTCTAAAAATTTCAGCACATATGTATATAACTCAAATTAGATACAACTGAATACTTAAATCCACATCCTGTTACACTACCTTATCAGAACATATCACAGATGTGGAGCCCAACCCCTCAACAGCATGCAAATGCTTTACTAGACAATTTTTCTTTGCCATCCTTTTCGCCGTTACAGACAAGACTGAAAGTGAAAGGCTACAAATTAGTATCGATTACTTTGCTTACAACAAATCTATTTCACATTTTAACTTGCTAATACTTTTAACTCACCCATGGTGAAAGTGACCGCCAATCCTTCAGGAACATTGGCTAAATAGATGATGAATATTAGGTTATGATTATTATACCATGAGTTAATTCATGGATACCTATTATTCCACGGTTACATACCTACAACGATTCCGATCACAAAAAAGACTGCGTCTGTCCAATTGTAATGCATGACGAGACCAAGGACAAAAAAGAATCCTCCAAAAACTAACGATCGAATTGTCATAATCATAATGAATCTATCCATCTCAATCCCAATAGGACTAAGGCCATGGTCAACTGTGGAGGCCAGGGACGCTAGTCTTCCTGTAATTACAAGAATTTCGCATAAGATATATATCATATTTAGGTGTTATAGTATTTCTAGATCTCCTGTATGTTGATGTTGACAGATTAGGCGTTTATATAATTATTATTATATAAACACTTGCCCATCAGGGTGTTCACTCCGACCCTAACCACTACTGCCTTAGCCACCCCCTCCAATGCATTTGTTGAGAAGAAAGCCATGTTCTTTGTCTCCATCACGTTTTCGCTTGTACATTCTGGGGATCTGTAATAATAATAATGCAATCACTAAATATGAATATAATTGTTTACCTACATATACCCTATCGCATGCCAATATGTACCTTTTACACGGTTCCGATTCACCGGTTAAGCTAGAGTTATCAACTTTAAAATCCTGACACTCTAGAATTCTTATGTCTGCTGGGATCAAGTCTCCAAACTTCACCTCAACAATATCACCCACAACTAGCTGGCTCACTGCTATTTCTATTCGTCTCCCATTTCTATGTACATAAGCAGCACGTGGAACCATGTTCTTAAAGGATTCCATTATCCGATCTGATTTAAACTCTTGGTAAAAAGAGAAGGACCCAGAGACGTGAACCACAACTATCAATGAGCAACCCAAAAAAAACTACAAGAAAAATAGATTATAATTTATAACCATTAAAGAGGGACATTTTAACATTGGCATTAGCACGTGAACACAATTACGAATACAATTTATACTTCAGTCAATAAAAAGATTGATCTCTTACATTGTCCCAAACCTGAAAATTAAAAAAAATATATATATATACATATATTAATATATTAATATAAATATATACATATATTAATATAAATATATATATATATATATATATTTATATTAATATAAAAATATGTACAATGTATAATTTAATTTGCACTCGAGGTAGTGCTTTTAGCATAGCATAAGGAACATATGTCAATGTTCTCACCTCAAAATTCATGCATTTTTCAACAAAGTGTACATGAAAGAAGACTGCTAGAATAACGTCGAAATTGCTAATAACTTACCACATCCCCAGGAAGGAGATATTGAGCCCCAAAAGAGAGGAAGGAAAGAAAGCAGCAACACCAGAGAAGAAAATTCAGACCACCCCACACAGCTTTAATGAATTTCCAAACCTGGGATGGTTTTGGTGGTGGGGTCAACTCATTTCTTCCATGCGTCTCTCGATTTGCTACAACTTGGCTGTCACTTAACCCCTGTTACATTAAATCTCTGGTTGATAAATTATGTTCAAGGACCATTAAAAAAATAGTAAGCAACTTGGAAATAATTTACTCTGGTAACATTTGTTCCATAACGTTTAAGGAGAATGTCAAGTGGAACTTTATGATCATCAGTGTCATATCCTTGTGATGGATCATTACTAGGTTTTGTGGGATCATTTTCCTCAATTCCATTTTTCTTATGATGGACTTCTTGTAACTGTACAAATACCAAATTTTAAATATTCAAAAATTTGCGATGAATGACATATGTATGTAGGTTAACGTTTCTTCATTGACTTCACCTCTAAATCGTTCCTAAAAGTTGGGTTATCAAATCCATTCCTGCCGTTAGCGTTGTTTTGGTCATTCTAAAAAATAGGAATATAACATTAAATGATATTTCTCTATTATGTGTGTATAAAGTGTGATACCTGTTGTTGAACATTAAAACTTTTAGACTTTGTCATTGTGCAGTTCTTTCCAGAAATTCGCAGTTGGACATCATCTGCTACTGCCGTACTACTTGAAACGTTGGATAGTAATGATCTTTTCCACGGGCACGCAAAGTGTATTATGCACTTCTGAGGGGTTGGTCATTTCTTAAACTTGGAGTGAGATTATTCGAGTCGAGTCTGACTCAATCAGGTAATAGTGATCGGCTAATTACTGTCCGTCGTCATCATGCATATACCAGTTCAAGGTTTACAATGCCAAACTTTTATCATAATGGTAGAAATAATGATTTTAAATGTCCATCTGGGGGATAGGTGATCACGAAGGAGGTGAGCTTATACAATGCTATAATTTATTTATTATACACTTCACACAAACATAAATACACCATACATTATGTATGAAACATATATAAGTACACATGTCTTTAATAAAGACTCTTTATAGGTTGTAACATTCGCGTCATTTGTCATTTGGTAATTTTCATATTATTCAGACATTATGACCAGTGGCGGCGAAAGTTGGAGGGACGAATGGTGCCATTAGCATTGTGAGATAGGAAGAGGAGGGGCTTACCAATAAGATTTGTATGATTTTCTGGGGAGACAGCCTCCTGCCCCCCCCCCCCCATCGTGCTTCCGCCGCCACTAGTTATGACTGAAGAAATATGTAGACACAATGCACAATGAGGGTATTCATTACGAGTTTGCATGTTCGCATTGCAACATATCTTTTTCGAAATTGCGAATTTTGCGAACTTTGAGGGTATTCACGCACCCTTGGTAACTACGTAAACAGCGTAAAATCCGTAAACTTACAAACGTTTACAAACAGCTTCCCGTGAATTCACTTTCGCAATTATTTTCGTAAAAATTTATCTGATAATTGAAACAAAATGCCGATCATTTCCAGAAAACGGAAATTAATGGAAGAAATTTGTGGAGCTGCATTTATTGATATAATAAATACCACGAACAGTGAAGGCTGTTCCTATAAAAATTTCGAAATTCAACCCTCCTAAATTCTAATCCTAAATCACACTAAATCTTAGCTGAATATATAACTTCTTAGAAATCGGTATCGGTGCCCCTCCCTTATTGCCCATCTGGTTATTTTTTGTTCATCTTTGACTTCATATTCGTTCATGAGAAGCTATCACCGTTCCGAATTTCAGCTTTTTGAGACAAGTTAGCTTTTTGAGACAAGTTATGAAAATCGGTATGGTTCACCCCAACGGGTCCCGGATGTGATTTTTTACCAATTCCACTTCATATTCTTCCATTAGGAGCCTTTAGCAGCCTCTATACCAAATTTCAGCTCGATTGGATGATTTTGAAAAATCGGCATGGGTCACCCCTTCGGGTACCTCCAGATGAAAAATTTTCCAATTTCACTTCATATTCTTTCATTAGGAGCCATTAGCAACCTCTATGCCAAATTTCTGTATCGAACAAATTTTTTTCTTCCGCAAATTGAGTTTACAAAATACTTTACAAAATTAAAAGACGCCTGTGAGCTGCGTAAGTTTACAAAAGTTTGTAAACTGATTTTCCTTGACAATTTTTGTAAAAGTTTGTAAACGTTTGTAAGTTTACGGATTTTACGCTGTTTACGTAGTTACGAAGGAGGGCGTGAATTGCCTCATTATTTTTTTGCTAACGTTGCCAACGATGCGAACTCGAATACCCTCAATATATTGAATACCCTCAATATATACACCAGAGAACTTATCATAACTGTTGAAAGTTTGAGGAATTACTTAATATAGGATTTGTGTTCAACCTGCTTTATAAGACGTTATGCTGTCTTTTTAATAAGTATGCATATACGCATGCTCCGTGCAGGCACTCCTAATGTCCGTCTGGCTGTGAACCATACCATACTCTGACCAAATGTGTATGGTCCTGATCTTGACAGGAATGAGTTCATGGATTAAGATGATGATTGAACCAGTGATAGGCCGGTGGGTCATTTGTGAATGGCGAGGGTAAATAAATAGAAGTAAATTTTATAAATTGTCTTCAAATCTTAGATTTTGTAAATCAGACCAAGGAATACGAAGTCTGCCTCAAGAATTTTAGCCGGAAGGAGAAGGACCCACCAGGTAACCCAAATCTGCACTCTATAGCCTTTCATTGTCAAATTTCATCCAACGGACATTTAATCTGAAATCATTGAGTCGAATATTTTTTCAAAATTTTCCAAGAGGCCAGTTATTAATGAATTTATGTACAATATTTTATGTATTTATGTATGCAAACGAACCGGCCTATTACCATTTTATTCTACTTAAACTCCTCCATCAAATGAGAATTAGCTTGTAAATTAAGTACAATATAATACTAACGGCTGTATAGTCAAAGTGTTGAAATTATAACTTCATTTTAACAAGTGATTTAAATTCTAATGGACATTTTATAATAAAATATGAGAAAGGTCGGATCGAACCGGATCAATCATGGCATCATTTAATTTGAAACGCACTAATATTAATATATGTAGTACCATAACTGAGGCATAATTTGTTTGTGCCATCAAAATGCATTTAAATGTGAGTTTAGTTTTGATTTAATGGAAATTGGAACGCCCAAGTCTAAAGTAATGAATGACTTTATGATGGATTTAAATTACTAATTTGCGCTTATTTACATTCACTAAGGTCTTTGTTACATCAAATATTAATACGTCTTTGCACGATTATGGACTTTTAATGCAACGATTTTAGTGACTAAAATTTAGTCTAAACAGCTACATATCCACGCACACAGAGCATGGAGTTTGAACAAATTAAAATAAATGATTTATGGAGTGGAATCATAAATGTTTAAGGGTTATCGAATTTCATTATAATTTGTAATATTAATAAATACATTAATATAATTTTACATTATTACAAGTTTTTAATTTCGTAACTTGTCAGAATGAAATACATAAATGCGGAAATAATGCACTGCTGGGTAAACTATGGGTTGTCTAGAATCAACTGATTTAAATTTCAATTCTAATGGTGCAATGTGGAGGATCCAAACATGATCTCATGGCGAAGTTTCAATTGGGTCAACAGAACCTTACCGGTTTCTTTAAGTTTTACATATTCCTCTCTTTCATGGAAAACATTTTTGAGGAGTTTTTGACGCAAACCTGTTTCCAATAGTTCCACGAGATGGGAAGTGTTGTGGATTACCAGCTTCAAGTACGAAATGTACCCAAAATGGAGAATCCATTGACCATCTAATGATTTGATCAAAGTATTCCATTCAGCAATAAAGCGATCCGTAACGTTTGCCAAAAGAATATGCAGAGGATGACTGGAATTGCACTTTCCATTGAAAATTAGCTGGTACACTCCTGCAATAAAAGTGAATCATAAACAGATGACAATTATCTAATTATTAAGGACGAATGATTTATATGATTTAACGAGAATGGCATAAAACTTACTCCATTTGTATTTCAAAATAATGTAGCTCAATAATTTCTGATTTTCTCTCGAAATGAGTCCAACCCCACAAAGAGGAAATGTTTGAGAAATCCTTTGAGACCAATTTTGCGCCCTTCGTATGATAGTTTGAGTCCTGTCATGAGTTAAAGTGGTCCTGAAGTATTCTATGCATGTGATAACTAATTGTAAGAGCAGATTCTCGTATATCTTGGAAAATGACTTAAAAAATCCCTCACCTGCAACTTTTCTAGGGGACAACGTCACCCTAGGTCTAGAAACGCGTATTCGTATTTCTTTTTCATTCAATCCAAATACAGATCCCCCGAAAAAAAATCGAGGGTCAATTATTTCGGGACATTTCTCGCTCATGTTTTGATTGTATACAGATTTTTAGAAATTCACGACTGTCGTATGCACTCTCAAAATACTGGGTGCCACGTAAGAATGTATTTAACAGACAATCTTCTACAATTGAATAATATTTGTTAAGCAGAGAAAAGCTTAAGAATCATATATATTTAAGGACGAATAAGATTGAATGACAAAAATTTAATTTGATACCATTTTCTACATAAATACGAGTACTAGGTTGCCATTTACATTGAAATTCGATCCGGAATTCCGGGAAATGTTGTTGACAATAAGCACTAATGTGTGTACTTAAACATTCAAAACATGAACGCAAATTTCATTTGGGTTGGTATACATATACATACATAATGTAATCCTTATGGATTCTGTAGACCGTATTAATACAGAATATTCTACTGTGATCAAATAAGCCCGATGTGTGTGTATATAAATGTGTACCCAAGAGTAAAGAATGATTTTCTACTATTCAATGAACAATAATCGTTACATTCTAATAAGTAAACAGAGTAATTCTGCTAGTCCATAAATAGATATGTCTACGTCTGGAATGGTGTTCAATTCAAAGTAAATTTGACTTCAAATTTCCATGTCAGAAACTGAAACTTAATATGCCTTTCATAGTGAACCCGAATTTTTTTATTCACGCTTGATTTAATGGCTTGGGCAATTAAAAAAACTATAACTACCAAGATAAGATTGGAAGACTGGTAATCGTAATTTGTATCCCTATGAATGCAAAGTCGCATGTAACGGGTTTTAAGTAAGGTTGCCCCGGGTAGTGGTAGTATCCGGTACCCGGCTATCCGGTACTCGGGGAGGGCGTCAAATTGACCCGCGACAGATTGGTCCGGTCATATTCACCCTGCGAAAGATTGACCCCGGACTACATGCACCACTTACTGTATTTATAATTAATTTTATTTCATGTTAGAGGAAGTAAAACATTCCAATCAAGAATTGAATTGATGTAATATGTACATAATTATGTATCATAATTATTGATATGCAAATTTTTTAATCTACTTTTTTCTTCATTTTAAACTTAAAACCTACAGTGTGCAGTGGTTACTTATTGTTAGCCCAAGTCAGGGATAGAGCCCGCTTCTAAATTTTTGTCAGATGACCCAACAATTACTCCAAACCACTATTTGTACGTATAATATGTATGTAATCGTCAAAAATATTCCTATAATCCTCCAGCATTCGAAATTTCACCTTCTTAAACTAATTTGAAAAACTAGTACGAGTAATCATACTGGGTTCCTCTCACAAACATTTTCATGAATTTGACTTCACGTTCTTTGGTCTGACCCTTAGCTTAGACGCTTAATAGCTTAGATGCATTATAAAAAAAGTCTTACAAAAAAATTCAGTATTCTGCCATTTATTTTCTACGATATTCTACGATAAAAGTAGATTAAGAAATTCGAATAACCATAATTATAATATATGCTTACATATTACTATTACACCAATTCAATTTTTGATTGGAATATTTTACTTGAACTTGAATATGAAATAAAATTAATTATTAGTGTGTAAATACAGTAAGTGGTACATATGTAGTCCGGGGTCAATTTGTCGCGTGGTCAATATGACGGGGCAAATTTTACATGGATTCGACTTCATTTACCCCGAGTCAGTGACAGACAACAGAGTCGGACTCTAAATTTATCTCCGAATTGACCGATATCTATTAATATCACCCCTTGTGGCTGGTCGAATATTTGCGAAAAATGCAAAAAAAACTCGGTTTTCTAGCAAAAGCTTTTTTTGAGAAATCTTAATCTTGCAAATTTCTCAAAACTTCGCAAGTTATGATTATGTGCAAGATATCCAAATTGACTGATTGTCAATTGGTTGACGTGAGTGCGCTCAAAATAATTTTAAAACTTGTATGATAATTAATTTCCACATCAGTGTTGGCCAAGGTTATACCCATTCTGTCCAAATATATTATTTTATATCAACTAAAAAAATGAAATCCATCAGTCAGAAGTTTTTCAATAGGGTTTTGCATTTCAAGTAAGAAAATTGAATATTTAAATTACTCTCCCGGGTACTTACGTGGCAGGGCATCCCAAAAGCCGGGTATGCCGGGTACCGGGTAACTACTCGGTACCCGGGGCAACCCTAGTTTTAAGTAATATTTGTGTCGACATACGTGATCATCTTAAGGAATTTTTGCTAATTATCAATGTGCAAATACATTAAGGAAATTATGGCATAACTTCATACTTGGTGAATACAAAAACAGCATACATATGTAATGTTTCAATTTGACAAGGTGGCGTCGTGAAAGTGTCAGAGATGTGTAGGTACATTTTGATATATGCATAGCTTTTATATTAATGCCTGCATTTCATATGCAAATATATGTACTTATATGTGTTATATAAGTACATACGTAACTATGCATATTGTGCATACTTTATATATGTAGGTACCCAATACGTATGGCTTAAAATAGGCTTTGTACGACATGATGACAATTTTATTGTACATGCCCACGCTCAATATATGTAGATGAGAATCTTATTTGTAGATATTTCTCTTTGTTAACCAAAATTGTTTATGCAAAGTGCTAGTCTTTTTCGGTTATGTACAAATTTAATGGAATATCAGATTGTGCCGTAAAAGTTTCAATTTGCGGAAAATAGAATTTAAAAAAATGTACCAATTCCTGAAATTGTCGTTGGCGAAATTCGTTTACTGAGTGGTAATATAGTATATTATGTATGTAGATTGTTAGGCAAATGTATGTATAATTTACATAATATCTCCAATAAAATCTCCAATAGGCTCCAATATAGTTTGGCTCTAAACATTTTTGTCGATCACTTACATTGTGTACACCTGATAAAGGCCAGAGAGCATAATTGTATTCAAACATTGAAGCCCTGTCTAGATTTGTTGCATAATAAATTAAAGGTAAGTGCTAAACATTAATGGCAAACAGATGCATAAATGGAGTAGTAATGCAGCCTCATTTTAGCGTAATTTCGAATAGGGTTGTGTAACCCTTATGCGCATTGGATACCAACTAAAATTTGCAGAACTATTCTCCACAAAAATATTTCAATTGCGTAAAGGAATTCATATTTGTCACACTCAGAATCAGAGTTGACTGTACTGCATGTAATGCAATATTCCATGTTACCAGGGAATATTTTACTCTATATACATACACATATTAACTCTTACTGTCAACTGTACACTCATATTGAGGGTATTCATTTCGAGTTCGCATCGTTAACAACTTTCGCAAAATAATAAAGTTCGCAAGTTCGCAAAAAAATTTGGATTGAAAATTGATTTGCGAACTTGCGCATCTCCAGGGCTAGTATTTAGTTCGCAAAATATTTTTCACAAATTTTTCAATGGGAAAAGTCCATAAATCTCCATTAGTTACCGAAGGCCTTTTTAAATATTTTATAAAATTTCTTATTTGGTAAATTTTAGACGCAAAACTTCGGTAACTAATGGTAATTTGCGAATTTTTCTCACTACAAACTTCGAGATATTTAAATAAAATTTTCATTTGCGAAGTGTGTTCACTTCGTTGCTTCGCAAAATTCGCAATTTCGAAAAAGTTATGTTGCAGTGCGAACATGCGAACTCAGGGTTGTTAAAGAGACAGTAACTTGATAAGGGGTTGCGCGACGTGAGCACCTTTTGCAATTTTTTTAATTTTGAAAAAGCTGGTGGTCCGGACCACCAGCTCCTGAATGGTTTTTAGGTTTCCATGCAAAATTTAATTGAGTTTCCCCTCAAATTTACTTAGTGATTTAGCTTAGTGATTATTTTTTTTCAAAACCATTTTTAAAAAATCGCTCATGTCGCGCAACCCCTTATCAAATTACTGTCTCTTTAACAACCCTGATGCGAACTCGTAATGAATACCCTCATTGTTACAGTCATTATTATTAAATCAATGGATCGCTTAACTATTTTATCTGCCATATTAATAATTGTTACAATCCTACAAATCGTGGCAAAGAATGAAGAGAGTTTGAAACGAAATCATGTGACTCTTAACCTAATATTCATGCACCAATACCAGGCTAACTCAATCTTCGAAATTATTCATGATAGTGAATCTTCTAATTTGCTGACGGACTATTTTTCACTTCTTTTAAAAGATAAAACAATTCAGAAAAATTATCCGACTTTTATCACCCAAACTCATAAAATGTTGCACGGTTCCTTGAGTGTCCTCAATGTAAGTTGCGTTATGACTTAAGATTAGTGATTAAGATTAGTTTGTATTTACCATGATATACGAGTATGTACATAACTTAACCACATATTTAGATTTCAGACGCTACTCTTCGAAATCGGTGGAAAACTATCAGATGGAGATTCGATCATGCCATAGCAGTATCGTCAGAGTCGTTACATTTCATATCCAAAACTTTGTGGCTATATGGTCCCAACGTTTCGGAGGATGCAGCCGTATTTGTCAGTATTTCAAAATTGTCATTTGATGCACAAAATGGTTCAGAAAAATTTCAAAGGGATAACATTTTTGGAAAAATGTACGCCAAATTTGTACTCCTGATTTACATGGGATTAAATATTAAAGTGCAAGTAGGTCAAAAATTGAAGTATGTAAAATTAGTTTGTTATAAAACTAGGCTTGAAAAAAATGTACGTACATGTAGGCAATCTGCATTCTTTGTCCTAACGCTTTATCCCCCCGTGCTCTCGAGTTGTCACACACAGGCGACATTTCATCGGTGACAAATTTTTTGAAATCTTGCCATCAAGAGTTCAATATGGCCAAAGGTCACAACAGCATAGCACAATTATGTCAAGTTGGTTTTCGGGGAGTAATTATGGACCTGAATTATCATAAAAATGTGGAACTCACCGCCAGATGGAGATATGACAAAAAGGCAGACAAAATTGGAGTGATTTTCGGAATCCTTATAAATCGATTCAACTTTTCATTTAAACGGGAATCTTGGGGTAGAACTGGAATAATAATTTCATTAAAATTATGCAAAATATATAAGTTCTTAGAATATATTATTGTCAGTACAATATTTATAATTTTTTCCAATTTAATTTAAGATCAACTTCAAGGAAACTATTCTGGAATTTACTTAAATACAGGAGGAGATATGCCAGAAAACTATATTTATGGTCGCAAGCTAACATTGGCCTACATCATCTCAGAGTTTTTATTATACTGCAGGAAAGTTCCGATAATCTCTTCAACTGGATGGGATTTTTTGTGGGCACCTTTCGACTACGTCACCTGGGGATTCATTTTAGCTACTGGGATATTATTTTCATTGTATCACAGAGGTCAAGTATCTTATGGGTTGGACGTCTTTTGGGGAGTGCTTGGAGTGCCATATACATCAAACTGGGCTAGGAGTAAACTGCTCGCTTGTTTTCTGGGTAGGATGTTAATCATTAAATTCAACGTGTATGGGCTGCGGAATCATGGGGACATTTGGGACAATATAACACTGTAAGATAGCATTGGAAGGATAGGAAAATCCATATTTCTGTGGGGACAACCGATGTCTCCACGGTTCCGCAGCCCTTGTCAACATGGAATACATGGCGACATGACCCTTTGTCTTATCCTTAGTGGTTCTATTAAACATGAACGTTGCTTACCTAAGCGTAATCACGAGCCGAGTAATCATTCCTAACCGTGAAGCAGACATTGAAACACCTGCTGATCTATTTCGACAAGGATTTCGTTTTATCGACAGCAATGTCAGCTCAGCCGGCCCCGGTTTTATAAGATACTGGGGAAAATACTTGGAAGAAGCTAGAATTAACACGAGTGTACAATCTGACGTTTTGGTGCAAGTGAATTCTTGTGGTGGGACGCATGATCCTGAATGCATTTCAAAGTGGGCAAGCCTGGCGACGGGTGTACTATATTTGCATAAAAAGACAGAAGTTCTTCTAAGCGTAAGCTCATAATCAGGAAATAATTTGTGTAGTAGCAGTTGTGGTAGTAGTAGTACCCATTTACCTTGTATTTATAGAAAAAATATTTTTGATGTACAGATTTCCCTAAATATGCGAGATCGATGCCACGGTGTGCGACGACCCTTCAGATCCTACTGGGTTTCTTTTTATTCCCAAGGGCCACTTGCTTCTATTATCTACGACACTTACCAGGCTCTTATCGCCACTGGGATTGACAATTTTTGGGAAAGACTTCAAAGAGCTTCATCAATTTATGATGCATACAGAGAAGCCAACCACACCACAAACACTCAACCACCACTCAACTTTGACACACCAATCCTTGTAGTTTTCAAAGCGTATGGAGTTTTAATAGCAATATGTATAATTTCATTTCCGATCGAACAGCTATATTCAATCGCAAAAAGTCGAAATAATTATGATACAAAAAATATGGGGAACCTCTTCATCAATCAAAACTTGTCGTCGCACTTGAAGCTTGTAGTTCCAAATGGAAGGATTAATAATAAGAAATTACGTCAGCCTAGGGTAATTTTAGTGTCCAATTTTGGTAACATTAAAACTTCCAGTGATAAGGATAACTTCATGAAACCAAGCCTAGATGTTTTATGGTAATGTTTATTATTGCTTAAGAAAAACTGTCGAAAACCAAAAAGGTGACAAATAAAATGACCTTGTAAACAAACAGCCGCCGAGTACAATAAATATTTCTTGACTGTTATCTTAGTCGTGCATTGTCTACCATTTGCTTTTATAAAACATGCATAAGAACACAAATATAATCAATACACATACTTACCTTTTGGAAAAGTACTAATAGGAAGCCGCGGCTCGGGAAATTGTTGTCAGGTAATTGATATTATTTATTAGTAAACAGTTTTAGAACAGAGAGGCAATTTGACACAAAGTAAAACCTTATTTTATGGGAGGGCTCGTCATGCTGAGAGTTCGGCGGATACTCGAGACCAAAAAAAATTGGCTCATGATTTGGAGCCTTTTTTACTATCTAGCTCTGCGTCAGGACTGACTGACCGGCAGTCAAAAGGTTCGAGACTTAAAATTTAAAAATAAATTTCGAGCATACATTGAACACCAAACATTTGTGACCATTGTATTTCATATGCATATATTTATTATCTATGGGATTTACATAGATTATTTTATATACTTGTGAAACTATATACGAAATGGGATCCCATTTTGAAACTGTAAAACAGTTTCAAAATGCCTCATTTAGTTATTTATGCAGCTGAACTACATGGGATTTATCTGAAAATCATTCTACACATATTGAAGGTGAACTATAATTGTCTTTGTTACGGTGGTATCTTCCGTTGTTAATGAACAGAACAGTGTACGCAGTGCACTGTGCCCCGAGCACCGGGACTGATCTCATTTAAATATAACATGTGAACACCGACGAAGCACCTTGTTTCACTACAATTTCATCATCTAAATGTACACTAACTTTAGAAAATGGTCTTAATTTTGATTACAAATTACTTATAAGTGATTTCGGAATGTTATCCAAGAAACTAATTAGTGCGGCTTTGGTTAATGCCAATCGGGTAATTATATTGCATATTCAAAATATGAACTTTATTTTGTATCGTGTAATCATTGTATTCACTTTATATTTATAGGTCCGTTACTATTCTGCTAGCAGTAGTGGAGGAAAACAGCCCGGATTTGTCTCTAAATTTATTGATAATATTAGACAAGAATTCACAAAGAATAAGGACATGAAGGATAACATCTCAAAGTTCAGAGAAGAGGCAAAAAAGCTAGAAGAGTCAGAAGCGTTGAAGCAAGCTCGTAGAAAGTTCGAAATTGTTGAATCTGAAGCTAGCAAAGGTGGGGACGTATTTAAGGAGCAGTTGGACGTTGTGAAAGGAAAACTTCAGCAACAATTAAAGGATGCCTCTCAGTCAGAATTAGCCAAAAAAGCGAGTAAGTATGAGCAAACCCCTCTTAAGAGAATATTGTGAGTTAATAAGGTAGCTATGGCAATTCTCGTGAAATGTACAGTGTGCAGGCTCAAGGCGAATATTGTAGTTATGGAGAAAAGTATGTTTAGTTACATAAATAAAATTCTGGCACCGAAAAAAATACCACTCTATTTCTCTCCATAAATACAATAACTATATCACCTTGTAGCCAATATTCTTTGAAATTTTAGACTTATCTGACGTTTGAAGTCGTAGGAAATTTGTCAATTAAAAATGTGTGCATTAAACCGGACATATTTTCAAGCGTGCTCTTTAAATACATAATATATTATATACATCAGGATAAATGCAAGGTTAAACGTTCATTTGTAATTTATTCGCTTAACTCAATTAATTTTATGACATAGGTCAGATGGGTGACAGTTTGGGAAAACAAGCTCAAAATGTTGCGAGTTCAATGGCAGACGCTGGTGCCAAGGTAGCAGCGACACAACCGTTTCAAGCTGTTGCAGGGGCTGCTGCTGTAGTCCGGGATGAAATAGAATTAGGTCAAATAGGGGACAAAATTTACAAACCACCTGAAAAACTTCGGAAAAGGACACAATCCTCGGCTGTCTCGAATGAAGATATAACGCCAAACACTGAAGCGATGGGTATTGAGCTACATAAAGATTCAAAGTTTTACCAGAGTTGGGAAAAATTCAAAGATTCTAATCCGTACGTCAACAAAATGCTGGACTGGAAGATAAAATTTGACGAAAGTGAGAACCCAGTTATCAAGGCATCCCGCCTCTTAACTAATAAGGTATGATAACTAGAATAAGCCAATGAATATAACCATTCGTAATTTCAGAGCATATTAAAATAATTAATCAATGTCGTATTTATTTAGGTGTCAGAGGTTATGGGTGGTTTATTTCAAAGAACAGAATTGTCAGATACACTGACAGAAATTATGACGATTGACCCAACTTTTGACAAAGAAAAGTTTCTCCTCGCTTGTGAAAGAGATATCATCCCAAATATTTTAGAAGCAATGTGCAGAGGAGAATTAGACGTATGGAATTGGAAAACATTTTATTACATTCTGTTGTATGCAAATTACAAAATCAATCATTTTGTATTTTTCAGATTTTAGAAGATTGGTGTTACGAGGCAGCATTTGCAGCCATGTCGTATCCATTTAAAACAGCAAGAGAACGAGGTTTAAAAATAGAGTCAAAAATTTTAGACATTTCTCATGTCGACTTAGCCATGGGTCGTGTCTTGGAGCAAGGGCCTGTGCTAGTCATAACATTCACAGCACAGCAGGTGCGTATCAAAGGCTTATGTTGCTATTTATTTTATGAACCAAGAAATATTATTTTTAAATGTTTCTGATGATTTAATCCAGATGATAGTAATTTTTATTGTTCTGTTCTACATAGGTATCTTGCGTCCGTGACGCAACAGGAAAAGTAGTCGAAGGAGATCCTCAAAAAGTCCTACGAGTGAATCACGCTTGGGTATTGTGCAGGGATAGAACTGAAGTACATCCTGGTGCAGCCTGGAGATTGCTAGAACTTTCTGCGTCTGCTTCAGAACAATTAATGTGAGAATAACAACCTTAATTAGTTAGTGTTTTATATTGTAAAAATGGCATGGAAAAACATGTCTACAACTTGAAACAATTATTATACCAACCTAGTTTCAAATCCCGTTGAACTGAATAAAGACAATTGTTATAACAAAATCTATAAGCTCATAATCATGCACGTGCATTTGGAATTTATGGAGGAAATTTAACCCATGCTTTAGAATATGATTAAAAAAACGTGTAGCTCTAGGTAAATAAATAATAAGTTGCATGTAAATTTATAGTGCATACTGTATTATGTGGTACGTGAAAGCGTCATAATAAGGTTCCTAATATATGTAAATATTAACTTTTTTTTCTTACTAGAAGTGAAAGTTTATGATATGCTTACATTATTACCGACCAAAGTTTGGCCGGTAATACAAATGAATATTTCCATTCAACGAATTGAAAGGAGAACCTAAATTAGAACACAATGGCAATACCAGTAAACATCAAGATATACAGAATACCTCTTTATGTACAATGTACATACATATGCATGAATTCTACACAAAGGCTTCAATTTCCTTTGCGAGAACTAAATGTATAATTATTTGCTATCTGGTACATATGCATGGCTAATTAATTGATGGTTTGAAAATGTAGTGTTAATATACCCATTTAACTTTATACATACACATATTCTCATTAACCGGAAATGTAAATGAGATGACTTGGGTAAGTGGGTATGGGTAGGTAGCATGTACATATGTATCCATGTATGTTTCCAACACCACTTTCGTAAATCCACACCCATGACATTGATAAACAAGTTTTTTTGGAGAACTTGCAACAAGTGGGAACTAAATCTAAGATTGTCTCATGATAGGCAACCACTCACTTATTCTCTCATTTGAAATCGGAAATTAAGAGTTTATTGCAATCTTTGTTTATGTTAATCCTTATAGTGTTAATATCTACACTACGATAATAGACTGTAAATCGGAAAATGCAATGCTTTGCCAAATTGGCCTACTTTATCTTATCTTGGTGCTATAGGATATGAGACTTGCAACTTTTGTTCACCTGATTTTTTTTTAACAATTGGAGAAAGAGAATTGGACTCTAAACGTAAAACAATCATCTGAGTGTAAAATAATGTGCTCAGAAAATTACTCAAATGAGAAGTCACTCTCAGTCTTATTCTTTTCCCTATCGAGCGATAATGATAATGTTTTTCTTGATACAAAACTTTCGGTTATTATAGGTTAAAATAGTCAGTTTCTCAACAAAGTTTGTTCATGGAATTAAAATGAGGCCCAATAAGTATATATTTCGTAAGATTTCTAGAATCATTGTAATCCTCTTACTAGTATTTTGTATCGAATGTCAGCCACAGTTTCTAAACAGTGTTATCAAATTTCCAAAGCCATCATCGAGAACTCTGAGTAAGTAAAGCGTAATGGTTCTCGGAAAGTTTTTTCCAAGTACATTTACTTGTGTGGTTAACAAATTTGTCAATTTAGGATATCTTCCGCTCAGAAATGATAAAGTTACAGTTTCCGGGACTTCCGCTGGGGGAGCAATGGCAATGGCTCTTTATCTTTCACATTCTAAACTTTTTTCTGGAGTAGCAATTTTCTCTGGAGGTATATATAGAACATATGTATACTTTATATTATATTCTAAGTTTCTGATTATTTTAATTTTTATAATTGTATTCAGTGTTATATCGCTGCGTTGAGGGAAATCGTGAAAGTTTTTCGGGAATATTGGGATGTGTAAACGGACTCACAAACTTGACCACAGTGAGACAACGACAATACATATGCATAAATTGTAGCTGCTGGCATGCTTTTATTTCGATGATGTACATAATAAACTTAAAGTGGTATGTATTTAACAGGTAACGGATTTAGCGGAGGATTTGGTTGCGGACAGGTTGATTGACAAGCTCAAATATTTAAAATTTAATCGACATTACGTTGAACACGGGTATAATGATGAGAAATTTTCATTCAGTAAGTTTAATTACGAATATATGTATGTAAGATGCTGAGATAACTTTATATTTTATGAATAGTTAATATATGTTGATTTTGCTTGACTTAATTTTCTGAAGACAATGGACGTCAAATAGCTCAATTTTTTGGAGAATATAGTCCAAACGTCCGGTATCAAGAAACTTCAGGGATTCATGGAATTGTATGTCGCGTGTTTCATATTTTATATATTTTATTATTTACATATTTTATTTATTTATTTTGTACTCGGTATTATGGTATCTGACAAAATCAACATATATTTCCTACGACTAATCAAGGCAACGGATAACTGCGGGTTTACTTGCGGGTCACGCCTATATCTGAATAGTGGGTGCTTGAATTGCGGACGATCCGCTGTTTATCAGGGGTTGAGTTATATCCGCAAGAGGAGGCTTTTAAGAACTGGTAGGTACTGTATACCGTATTATATTTACATATTTATTAACGGAATTTGGTATGGAATCTTAAAACACGTAATTTAAAATACAAACACATACTTCTTGTAGAATCCAAAATTGCGACATGTTATCAAGGAAAAGGAGTTCCCGGATTGTACAAATTCGACCAGACAGAATTTCTTCCAAAAAATGCATTGGGTGGTACAAACGTTCCGATGGAGAGATACGGGTTTATTTACATTCCGCCAAGATGCGAAGCAGGTAAGTTAGGATGTTCTGTAACATTTATCAAAAAATAATTTCTTAGCCAGAGTCAGGGCTTATGGAGCTATTTCGACCATTCGCACGTCGATCTTATTCGCTATAAAAGTCGTCGGGGGACTAGGAATTTTGCACACATGTAGAATGGGTCAAACAGGGGATCGTGACACGAGGGAGTCTGTAAAATATTTAAGAACCCTCACCTTGATAACGTTAAACTATGGGAGTACTTTCGTTATAACTTTTAGCCCAAACAAAGTAAGGGTTATATGATCGTCATGTCTGTCAGTCTTTCGATAACTCAATAACGGGTTGACCGATTTTGATGAAAGCGTGTATCTAGGCAATGCAACGACCGAGTTCGAAGAGAGGTTTGATAAAAAAGATTTTGGCTGGTGCGGGTCATATAATTTGTGAGGTTATGGGTGGTTTGGTGAAGAATATTCGAAATAATTATCTGCATGCATAAAGCTGAAATTCGAAAAAATAGTCCGAATAGCGGTATAAACTCGGAATATAAAGCAAAACTTAGAAATTTTTTGACCGGAGGGTGACCCCCCAGCAGTAAATCCAGACACATTTACCACCGTTCGCTATTGTTGGGCGACGGTCGCCGGGTGTGGTCGTCGACGAGGAAGGAGGAGGTAGCGTTTTGAAACCTGACTTATCACGTAGTGGGGGCAGGACGCTAAATTATTTATAATGCATAAAAATATAACTGCTATTGCATGATTGCATAAATGTGATTTACATTTATTAAACACAAAATGAGTGATTTTTTACGGAGAAGAAAGTGGTGTACGTTTAGGAAGAGCCGAGTTGTTGAGATGGGATTAAATAGAGCTAACAACAACAGGTAAGGAGTCAAAAAGTTAGCAGATTTCGACTTCCATCATATTATTTCCTCACCTAAATATGTATGTGTGTACAACTAATTCACTCACAAGTCAATCACCATATTCCTTTTCTATCTTTTCGTAGTTTTTAAATATGCTTAAATATCTGTAAAATTATGATGTGATCGCACACATTATTAATCGACTTGGAGATTTCCATTCAAAATGTATACTTGCCGATTCGACATGGTCGGCACGTGCATAATTTATTATTTCATGACCCAACTAAAATAACGAGTATGCGTAAATAAATCAATCGAAATCACGTTGGTACCGTGGGAAGCGCATAAGAAGGGGTTGAATAGATTTGGTACAATAAATGAGAATAATGCCATTTACAATGCCACGAGGGGGTAGCGATAATCATTCATTGATAGCCATTTACTCCTACTTCCGTTTGTCAAAGTGGTAAATGATGTAAGGATGAGCCACATATTTTTATTCTGTGTCACAGGACAATTGGATCAATCACTGAAAGTCATTTGTTTCTCCGGGTTGTAAACAAGCACAATGAAGGGAATCCGGGTAATGAATGAAAGTCGGTTAAGCGGCACCCTTTTGAATGATTAATGATTTAATTCAAACAAGCTGGTTTACGTCTCACAAGGGAACCTTAAGTACTGTCACCTCTCGATTTCCTTCCAAATAGCCTTAATCGACAGATAATTTAGTGAAACAAAAACTTTGTCATAGAACATGCGGTGCAAAATCGCGTTTTCGCGAAATATTTGGCGAGAGCTGCACCAAAACCTGCCATTTGCCCAATGCTTTTAACATAGCCACCAGCCTTTCGAATGATGAAATGAACTTCATATAATCTTATTAAATTATATTTGTACCTGTCCGCGTAATTTCAGCCCGATCACCAATATGCATAAAACAATGCAAAGATTCGCAAATTTTTTGCAAATTGCGAAAATCTGAAAACTTGCAAATTTGAATTTCTTCGTTTCTTTAAATTCAACAAACTTTAACAGTTTAACTGTTAGAAAATATATTTTTCTTATTGCAAAAAATTTGCAAAAATTTGCAAAAACTGAACTTCGCAATTTTTCATGAAAATAACTTAAATAACCAAGGCTAGTCTATTTTTACGTATTTTTCGAAATTATTTCCGGTATTTCTTTTGGTAAGTTGCAAAAACTTACAATGTGTGCAATTTTTTAATTCAATATTATTATGTAGAATTTGTTTGCAATGTTTGCATGTTTAATTGTTTAACAAATTATCTTTCCCTTTATTCGCTCATATCTGCATATATGACAATTTTTAAGTTTCTCTAAAATGCGAAATTTAAAAAATGTAAACTTTAATTGTTACAAATTTTTGCAAATTTTTTGCAATAAGAAAAATATATTTTATAACAGTTAAACTGATAAGTTTGTTGAATTTAAAGAAAGAAAGAAATTTAAATTTGCGAAAGTTTTCAGATTTTCGCAATTTGCAAAAAATTTGCCAATCTTTGCATTGTTTTATGCATATTTGTGATCGGGCTGAAATTACGCGGACAGGTACAAATATAATTTAATAAGATTATATGAAGTTCATTTCATCATTCGAAAGGCTGGTGGCTATGTTAAAACCATTGGGCAAATGGCAGGTTTTGGTGCAGCTCTCGCCAAATATTTCGCGAAAACGCGATTTTGCACCGCATGTTCTATGACAAAGTTTTTGTTTCACTAAATTATCTGTCGATTAAGGCTATTTGGAAGGAAATCGAGAGGTGACAGTACTTAAGGTTCCCTTGTCAGACTCATTTCAGTATAAAATGGTATAAAAACATGATTAGATAAATATCTATCAGTAGGACAGTTTGGTCATTCATTCGGTCCAGCTGAACTCAATGATCGGAAATGCGTAATAAATGAAATATCCTAGAATACTGATGCACAAGTACACATTTTTATTGAAATACTATATTTTAAAGTCATACATTACATTAGTCATTTGTGAATCTTTTTCATTGAGTTATTTACATTTTCTATATTATTATTAGCTAGGATGTTACTGTTGAATTTACGACTTTGTATGCATTACAGACATTTGATCATTGCATTTGATCAAGCCGATAATATTTATAATTGGCCAATTATATTATGGTCGAGGTATTAAAAATAAGCAGATTTTTAGATGCTTTACTGATGCACAAATGCACTTAATTTTAATACCTCACTAGTATATATATTTACTTATAAATACGCAAGCTAATATTATCTTAGTGTCTATTAAGTTTAGTAATAACTGCTAATTAAATGTTTACGCCAACTATGAACCGTGCTAGTATCAAAGTGTATTTTGCTTCTTGTCATATTGGTTGGTATTACATATCTCTTCCGACACTGGGGTAGTCATACATTTCAGGTCGTAGTAAATGCCCCTATATTACAAATTAATCGTCATGAATGGAAATTATTGAAAGTATTGACTTCAAAACTATACAATTCACTATAAAGTTCGATTCGTGTATCCGTGGAAATGACAGTACTTGGAGTATATAATAGCTATTCCTCAGACGACCCATGTCAAAACTTCAAGGAAGGTCAAATCGTGTGGCACATGAACTTCTGGATTAACCTTATGGTTGTTTTGCCATTCGCCTGATGGCATTAAAGCACTGTTGCAAGTCCCAAAGGGAATATAATTAGCTAATGGCTTCGCATCTATTCTTTCACATTTGTCAGGTTGGCAGGCCTGCTCGACAATGACTACAACAATCTTTTTGTCTGCAGAACGTTAGCAGAAGTAATCAGCCGGCGCCTTTGGGACCCATACTTATTTGTACAAGCCGAAGGAACGATGTCGCACGCACTGTTGACATTGCAACTCAATAGTTTAGTTTTTTATTTTCTGACGTCGCAGACATTATGCAAGCGGAAAGCAGGAGTAAACAACTGACGAGCCTCTTTTCTCTGGTTGTTATCTCTAAAATCACTGGAATTTTGAGTTGAGTGAGGGGTGCAGAGTTTATTTCTTCTTTAAAAGTTTTTTAACTTTGTGACAACAGCTAATTTGGGCAAATTTCTCACGTGTTGAATATGAACCCGTTTAATAAGTTTTTCAACCATTTGATCACCCTTGTTCAAATCGAATCCAAAGACAGAAGTTGGCTTCTTCAAATTCCATCCTTGGCTAAGTCGGTACAATAGATAAAGGACGAACAAGCCGCAATTGGTTGCGTTGTCGCTTTGAAATCTGTTCTTTTTTCTGTGCAACTGAGCAACAATTTGAACCCAGAATCTTATAGGATTCCAAATCTTGTCCAAAACTACATATTGCGATAACTACAATACTATCCGATTCCAGGCTGACTATTTATTACATATGCGGCGAACAGCTTCCGAGAGTTTATCAATCTCTGTTGGGCTTAAAACTGCAGAAGGGCTTCAAAGTAAACTTGGTGGCTCTTGTCAATCTGGATCAGGGTTTGGTTTTGGGCAATGGCAAAGCAAGTTGTGCCGTCAGTTAATTCTTTACGAAATCGCTGAGTTCTGGAGATGTGAGTACGGACTAGAAGGTTTCGAAACCCAGTAGACTGATGTCGTAAAACATGCCAAATCCAATTTCAAGCCCATAACGGTGTCACCATTCACGGTGACAGAGAAGGACAGAATACCAAAGCGATCAAACTTGAAGCAACACTTTTTCAATTTTCCAAGTGATCTCTCGGTGTCCATCATGAAGAAGAAAATCATCTCTGAAATAATTTGAGAGTATAGGGTTTCGGAGGTCATGTGGACGGCTCTTTGTCCAACGGCGAAGCTCTTGACATCATAAGATCGTGTCAGAAAGAGCATCCGTTTACCAGAAGAAAATAACTGTGTGGTTGGCAATAATCTGAGGGTCTAGAACATGCTTCCTAATTCGATTTTGTGGCGGCTCTGCGATATTTGCTTGATAAGGACACAATGATACTGTTGACGATTATAATTTGAACACCGATTGACTTGAGGCGAACTTCCGAAATTTCCCACATACTGGGGAAAAATTTGAACTGCGGGCAACTCCTTCGTTTTGATTCAAGTCGGGTCCTGATGAATCAACCATTTTGCATGTCAAGTAAGGTCGAGCCAGGTCTAAGTCCAAGTCATGACCAGTGCTGCTTTG